CAGTGACAAATATCTCTCATTGTATGTGCCTTCAGAAGAGAGGCAGTCTTTTTTCTTTCCTTGTATTTTCCTGAATCTGAGATAACAGGATACTTGGATGATCCTCGCAAGGTTTCAAGGCAAAACGCAAAGATGATTTGTTCAGGTTCATGTGAATGGAGCCCTTCTGTTTGCTTCCTTCCTACCTGGTTTATCTAAACACCAGTGCACAACACAAACAACTCTATGCAAGAGCAGGCTCCTGTGATTGATGTGAGGCCCCAGGTTCTGAATATTTGGAAAAATGGTAGAACAAAAGTTTACCCACTTGTGTCTGTCTTATAGAGAGCCTTTGCTCTCACAGGAAAACTCCTACAGACTTCTCCCTGAGCCCACACAAGCCTCCTCTGAGCCTCTGTCACACTATCTGCTCTAGAAAGCTCTGTACCACCTCATTGCTTATCCATAAATGGTCACCTGTCACAATTCTCCTGCTCGAGGCCTCTGCCAGACTCATTTTACCTATCTTTCCTTTTACTGTTGTTCACTTTACATCATCTGTGTTGGCCATTATGCCCGTGTGTGTGTCTTCTAATGGCTCATACATTCATAGATGAAGAGAAAACTTATTTTGGAACATCCAAGTTCCCAATGTAGCACTTCTATATTACAAATTCTGAACTTATATTAGAGGAAGAATTAAAGTGTCACTAAAAATTCCTTTGATGTGGACATAGCCTCCTGTTAACAAATCTTTAGAGAAATTATTCCTCTTTTCTGACCTTAAGTTCCATACTTGTAAACTGAGTGGAAAATAAAACAAAACATGTAAAGTTGCTATTGCATTTAAAATAAGTGTATCCTCAGCCATCATAAAGACTCCAAATAATGTAAAGTAATGGTGAGAGAATATGAGGAGGTCCTTAGTGGGGAGACTCACCTCGTATGCAGAGAAATCGCAGCTCTTCAGCCTCTCAGATCTGGTGTGGAGTCTCTGGGTAGTTTGCATTTTATAGAGAAAATGAGCCCTCCCTTAAGGAAGTAGATTCTCCTTTTGACCATTTTGCCTTCATTCCAGCTATTGTGATGAAAATCCCTGGCTTAACATGTTTTTGACTCCTACTATGTGACAATGATTTCACCTAGGCCTGTTTCTCTGTCCATCCTTTGTGGAGTGGTTGCTATGGGCAAAGGCTCTTCTGGGAGTAATGGATTAAAACAGGAGGAAATTCTTGAGCTTTTGAGACCAGAAAGTCATGTTTCTTGGCCAAGGCCCTAATCTTTAACCCTGACTAGTCCTACAGGGCATCTTAATGTCTGAGCTGGATGTGGGACTAACTGTTGGCATTCTGGTTCTTCTGGAAGGCCATGGGAGTGGTCCCAAATGAGTGAATCATCTCATCTGGTTTTCAGACTCTCAGTCACTACATGGTCACAAGAAGAAATAAATGGGGAAAATGCTTCCTCTGAAAATACGTTGTTTCCATGTTGGAAGTGACCTTAAAATAATCGTGTTGATCGGGATAGTAGATACCATAGGAATGGGCAGTGAGGATTGACTTGACCTTTCTGACATGATGGTACAGACAGGAAAACCCTGTTACTCTTAGTATCTGTCCTTTCTAGGGTGACGCAGGAACCATGGGGCTTTGGTTCTTTGCATTCATACACCAGACATTTGCTCTGCTCACAAGAGGATGAACTGAGGTCACTAACCTACCCTCAGTACACAATATCTTACAAGGGATGGGCCTTGGAAAATCCAAAATCCTCAAAAACCAGGTACATGCAAACTTTCCCCTTCCTATTTTTCTACCATCATGTCACCTGCCATGAACCTAATACCCCTGATGCACCCCGATACATGACACCTCAGCCACCACCATAAGCTCTTCCATGAGTTTCCCAAAGCCAGTAGTTGTTCTTTATACTCAGACATTGCTGCTTATAGTATGTGTTTAGTTAATAGACAACTTGTGTTTTCATGATTAGATTTAGAGGTACATGAACTACAGAGAAATGCGGGAAGGTGAACAGGAAGGAATAAAAGAGAGAGAGAAGAGGAGAGAGAGAAAGAGGGAGAGGAACAGTGAGAATGGGAGTGAGAGAGAGGGAGGAAGAAGAAGGAGGAGGAAGAGGAGAAGGAGGAGACAGAGAGGGAAGAGAAGGAGAGGAAGGAGAAGGAGAAATTGAAGAGGAGGAAGAGGAGAAGGATGGAAGAGAAAAAAGAGAAAAGCATTATTTTAGAAAGACAATTCCCTCTAACTCTGGGGTGGTACCAGGGCCACTACTACACCTAAGCTCTAGTTTCCTGTGTGACATTAGCTCTCCTATGGGATCATGTAGAGGTTCTTGTTCTTACCAAAGTTACCCCTCAGTGGCACCTCACACAAGAAGCTCTGGCCACACCCTGGGTTCTCATCTCCCAAGAAACCTGCTTCCTGCTCCTGTGTCCTGCATCAGACAGCGCTGGCCAGGGGCATTCTTGGCCCTGTTTCTGGATGTTGCTGCCTGCCTCTCCAAGACACTGGCTAACCTGATTCTCAGATTGGAATCTGGGTCCCTTCCGCATTCACCCTTGATTCTGAACCTTGGTTATAGAAGAAATTCCTTTCTCATTTCCTGTCTCTTATTGCTGGGTGAGCTCTCCCATCCCCTTCCCTAAGAGGTTCCTCATTCACCTCAACAGAAACCTTTTTGCCATCAACACCTTGAACTCCTAACTTTAGCTTAGCCCTAATTTTCCTGTTTGTTTGGTCAGGTGCACTCTGCTTGAGTGTTAAGGCTCTTTCTGCCCTTTCAAGAAGCTTTGTTTCTTCACTGATAGTGTTGAGTATGGCGAATTATCTGGCTTTAGTTTCTGAAAAGGTAAATCCACTAGCTTCTGAGGGTGTGTTCTACAATTTCAGGTACATTTGTCTTCCTTACTGGCTCTCTTCTCTTGGCACAAGCAGCTGCTTTTCTTTCAACTTCATTGTCCTTCTTAGGGCCTGTTTGTGGATGGTACTGGTATCTCTTAGGGACCCTCCATATCTTTCAAATCTTGTTCTTTTGCCTACCACGGTTGTGTGGACCATTTCCACATGTTGCCATAACTGAGAATCTCCTTTCTAGACCCAAGGTTCACTGATGTCATAGTGTGAGCTATCTGTGGGAATCCGCAGTGCACTTGAGGATATTCATCTTGAAGTTCTGCATAGTTATCGCCCAGTAGCCACACTTGGCTGGCTGATGGAGGACTTGAGCTGTCAAACAAGGTTATTTCACTCCCAGGGATAATCCTTCTGTGACACAGTTCTTTCTGTGTCTGTGATGATCCTGGGGATCAAGTTCCAGTTACCCTTTGTGACTGCCTCCTTAGTAACATACTCTTTGCAACATACTCATTTTTTTCTTTTGCTTGGTTTCACTTCCCTTAATCCCATATCTCCTCTCCTAAGATTGTGACCCAAATAAAATTAGGATTTTGTACAATTTTGTCTTTAGTTCTGATTTGGGGAAATGTGGGCTAGGCTATGGTATAAAACCCATACACTGCTTTAGAGACAGAAAGAGAAATGTGACTGCTTAGTGACAGAAATCAGTGTCTAGGGTAAGGTCAGAGGAGTCATCTGGTGGATCAATGGAAGCAATTTGGAACTCTGCTGTGGACCCAATGGTTGGGTATTTATGTACTCTTCTCTGCATATGATTCTGTTTCTGATTTATTCTTGTGAGATTTTCAGTCTTGGATTTGGCTTGGCAAAAATAGTACAAATTGGCATTGTGATATGAGAGAGACAAAGTGCCATTTCGTGATGTGAAGCTTTTAGGTCCGGACTGTGTAGGGAACAAGCCAGACATGGCTGTCTCAGTTGGCCAGGCATTGGTTCTGGGCCTCCAGAAGCAGGCTCTTGGGTCCTAAGCTCACTCATTCTGCTGCCATCAGCATCTTGCTGCTGCTTCAAGCTAAACCAGCTACCATTACCCAGCAGGATTCTGCTCACCACAAATTGCTACCCTACAATAATGAGTAGCCTTCAAAAGGGGATGTGTCTACCTGGATTCAGTGTTTCAGAAAATGCTTAAAATACAATGACCAAGTGGGTTATACCAATAATGTGAACTCTCCTCATATTGCTTACTCTATAAGATCTATAAATTAGATGTAGCTGAAATAACTTCTTGCATCATTTACTAGTATTTTGGTGCCATTGCCTTGGTTCTTGCTAAAGGTCGAGGAATTTTATTCTTCTTTCTCTATTTATATTGAACCACCTGTTCAATGTTAGCAAAATAAAAATACTAACTTTTATTCAGCAAAAGGAGGGAAAGAAACAGAGGTAAGAGCTCAACAGGACAGGTTTACTTCAGAGCAAACATAAGAGGGGCTGCCCTGGCACTAGAAAGCAGACCAGCTAACTCTCTTGCAGGCTGAAAGGTCTTTCATAGGGTCACTGGCATAAAAAGGGGGGACTGTGAAAGGAAAAAGTCATAATGGCACTTTGGAGGGGGAAAGTTCTGTACAAAGGAGTTGTGGCTGTTCACCAGGGACAGGGCTTGACAACACACATGGAGCTGAGATTTGTCAAGAGCGGAGCTGAATAATGATTGGGAATTATAAGGTGTAGCTGTACTTACTGGGCATTATAGACCCATGGCTATGCATCTGCAGCAGGTATAGAAGCATAGCAGCGGGGAGGGACTTAAAGTGATCTCTGCTCAAACCAGGATGGCAGTGGTCGGATTCCTTCAACTGTCTTCTTATTTTATTACCAATCTTGGCATCACAGATTCCCTGCAGGATCTCAAAGACCCCTGATAATCTGTGGGTCATACTTCACAAACTTTCGATCTAGCATAACAATTTCCATGTCCCTCTATCTGCAAAATCTTCGGGCCCAGCAACACTTGCCCCTGTGCGAGGCAACGTGAAAAGCCTTGAGATGGGAGGACCAACATCAGAAATTAAAAGCTCGGATGTTAGTTCTCTTGTCAGGGATTTTGTATCCTGGAAAAGGAGCAGGCTGTAAAAAGACTATTTGACTACCAAGGATTTGAGAAATAAGATCAGATTATTTAAAAAATTCAACTCGTTATCCATTTGTGTTTGCATGATTTATCTTCATAGATATTAGGAATTAATTATTTATCTGTCATTTAAAAATATATAGAAATCTCATGTTTACAGAGCACTGAAGGTGAGAGAGAACTTCTAGTCATATATGCTTAGTGTAAATCAACTCATTTCTTTTAATCCTTTGGCTTGAGTTTTTTGAAAAACAATAGCCATGGTATGTTTTCTGTTACCCACCTTATGTTAGAATAATTCCAGTCCCAGTTAACAAAGCCCTTAAAACACAATGAAATAAGGACTTAGAAGTGCTAATTATCCTCATTTGAACAGCACACATTGTATGTATATATTGAAATATACTGTATCCCATAAATATGTAAAATTATTACCTATTAATTTTTAAAAGTCCTTGATGAGAAAATAAAAGTTATGTGAAATAGTGTTGATAATTTCAAGTAAGTGAACAGGTGGGCTTGGTGGTGGCATCTTAAATATACTGTTAAGTTAGATTTCATTGAAAAGCTAACATTTCAGTAGAAAAATGAAGAATTAATAAATAGGTAAAGAGAATGTCTAATACAACAACCTAGAGACAGGTGCATTCCCAGCATTTACAGCCAGAATGGAAAGAGGGCAATGGATGAAGGGACGAAAGGGAGGGGAAGGGAGAGGAATTTTGGGTTCTATTGTCACCACAGAGGCTGAGGGCTCCTGGCACTCATCTTTCATGGAGAATCTTGAACTATATCTCTTCCACGGACCCCACTTTGAGCTACCCAGTCCATAGAAGCAATCAGCTCAAAGTAAAGTACACCAAAGAATATCTCTTTGAATGTCCAAATGTTACTGTGATCTTCAGATTTTTCTATTTTTGTTGTTGCTGTTGTTCTGACTTGAGGCACTGGGGATTGAACCCGGGACTATCCCCAGCCCCCTTTTCTTTCTTGTTTTGAGACAGGGTCTCATTAAGTTGCTAAGTGGGCCAAACTGGGCCCAAACTCATCATCCTCCTGCCTCAGCCTCTCAGAGTGCTGAGGTACAGGT